AATCAATCACGGAGAACAAGTTCGACATCAACATTGCCCATCTTCTCCGCCTCGTCACGGCTAGTCTGCGTATCATGCCGGCCACAAGTAAAATAGAAAAAGACATCTTTTTGTGCCAATTGTAACCCTCCTTGGTCTGAAGCCAAACAAGAACTTGCTCTGCACGGAGAGCATACGTCTGGGAAGAAACGGGCTTCGTGAATTCCTGGGAGTTGTGAACGCTGCAATTGCTTGGTGCCCCACGTCCTTAGTCTGGGAAGTAAGAAGCTCGGAGAACTCATGCGAAGCTTTGAACACCGGAATTGCTTGTTACGCTGCACCCGCAAACGACGCCTCTACATGGTTATACTCGACTTCAGCCGGTCACACTTTGATTGGAGATTGATCAGGGCTCTCTTATCCTCTTCATTGCATGCGACAAGTATTCTCAGGGCTGCCTCCGCTCCATCTGCATGCTGCCGAGCCTGGGTAGCCTAAAGATGGGCTTAATCAGCCTGACGCTGGAGCTCCGTATGCTGATTTTTCATAGTACGGAGCAATGTGGCCGGATGCACCAGTCCCTGCAGAGAAAAACGATCAGATGACATGGAAAGTGGTTTAGCATCTCTCTTTGCAGCCAAGGCAGCAAGTTCGCTTCTCCGACCTGGCACAAATGCAAAGAAACGAACAAGGTGGTACTTTGTGAAGCAGGGAAGTTGCATGCTTCTCCCCGGCATCAGGAAGGGAAGCTGTGTGATTCTCCCAACCGGCTGTACCTGCAAGAAAACAAGCGAAGTAAGCTGGAGCTGTATGGGTAGGATTGCCTTCCCTAACCCGACCTGAGAAGCAATTCATACCCTTTCCTTTCATGGCAAGTATATCTTCACGAGGCGGGGAAGCTGCGCCATTTCCTGCAACATTGGACGGAGAAGCCCTGCGTTTCTCTCTAACATTGATCGGGCCGGGATCCAATTTTGAAGGTCGGAGGTTAGCATCATGTGCAATTAAGCGTGGACATACTCCGGACGCCGATCCTCGACCTAAGAAGTGACAAGCTGTGAAAAGTTTAGGGAGGCCTCGAGCCTAAAGCTTGCAAAACTCCGAAGTCACTGTGAAGGATCTAACATCACTCTCTTGCCCTGCATCGCTTTCTTGACCTGCATCAGGGAGCCATCCAAGCACAGCTCTCTTGATCCGACTTTGGCGGGATGACGATGATGACCACTGCTTCGGGTTCATGATTGGCCAATGAGTCGTTGTCTACGTCAGCACCGATTCAACACAACCACTCCTGTCTCAAGACCGGCCAGATCCTCCTTCTCTTGGATGATGACCGCTGCTTTGATGTCACAGTCGGCCTACGAGTTGCCATCCTCGTCAGGATCAGCTTAGTGCCACCATTCTCATTTCAAGACTGGTCGCATTTCCCTTCACTTGGATGATGACCGCTGCTATGGATTCATCACGACCGGACTAAACGTCATCATTTTGATTCTATAATCGGGCCAGCCCGCCGTCCACAAGGATGACGACTATTTCTTCATCGCAAGCCTGGTCTCAACCCCTCTTTCAGCAAATGGCATACTTTTGTAGATATCTTTCATGCTTTGACTGGGATAAGGGGCGAGCCAAACTTCTGTTCGGCTAATCCTATCCCTCTGCTGATGGTCAACTTCATGCTCTTACTCTTCTTAACAAAATTGTTCTTCATGAAGCAGGGAAGGTGAGTGCTTCTCTCCAGCATCAGGCAAAGAAGCTATTAGCATCTACGCGACATTAGGCAGGGAAGGTGCATGTTTCTACCCAGCATCAGTCGGAGAAGCTGAGCATCTCTCCGGGCATTAGGCGGAGAAACTCTTAGCATCCCTCGACATCGGGCAGGGAAGGTGCGTGCCTTTCCCCAGCATCAGGCAGGGAAGGTGCGTGCCTCTCCCCGGTATCAGGCATTGAAGCTCTAAGCATCTCCCTGACATTATGCAGGGAAGCTGCGTGTTTCTCCCCGACATCATGTGGAGAAGTTGTGTGCTTCTCCCCGACATTAGATGGACTTGCATCGGATGTCAAAGGTCGAAACTTAGCATCTTTTGTCGCATCCAAGGCAGCAAATGCGCTTCTCTGACCATCCATACCTACGAGGAAATGAAGGTCAGGGCAGGGCAACAAGTGCACTTCTCCGACCTACCATACAAATGAAGGTTAGGGCAAGACAGCAAACGCGCTTTTCCAACCAGCCATACCTGCGATGAAACGAATAGAGTAAGCGAGGATTCTGCCGGTTGGGTTATCTCCCCTTACCCGGCCTAAGGAGCAGTTTATACATTTGCTCTTCTTGGAAAGTCGCTCTTTGCAAAGCAGGGAAACTTCTCTCTTTCCCCAGCACCAGGCGGCGAAGCTCCGGGCTTCTTCGTTGCCTGAGATAGACCTTCATCTAACTTTGAAGGCCAAAATTTAGTATCTTGCACTGCAGCTAAAGCAGCGAGAGCGCCTCTTTTACCTGCCATGTCTCTAACAGGTAATAATAGCAATCAACAGGGACTACTTATCATGACGGGCTACTCACTGCATCTATCTCGAGAACTTCAGACGAGCAATGCTCACAAGTGAAGACCAGTCTTTGCTATCCCCTCGACGGATGGCGACCGTTGCAATTGCACACAATGGCCTAAGAGCTTACCCTTTAGCTCTGTTTTGGGTGCATTCAAAGAAGAGATCTCTCCACCGGAACAAGACCATGGGAGGCTAATCGGATAAACAAGACCAAAAACTGTTACCCAGACGAAGGAAACCATATCCTCTTGCAAGCAGCGGGGATAAATGTGCATAGTTATAAACTACCCTCTCCCGAGAATACCTCGGCTCGGCATCATCAACAGGCAGCTTTGCGACCAGCCTCTCATGGGCATACCTTGGCTCGACCGCCACCACTGGAAAGCAGACGAGCGACTGGCCTTCCCGGAACACATCTCGGCTTATCAGTAAATCAGACGCTCAATCAAGAATCGACGAGATTGACCCTCCTCTGTTTTATTTTGAGGTATCGGTGTACTCTTTTTCCTTCACTAGGATTTTTTCCCACCGGGTTTTTCCTAGTAAGGTTTTAACGAGGCATCCCCTCATCATGAACAAAGGAAGAGGTCTTCCCGGTTGGAGCAAAGAAGACCCCGAGCAGCTGGACAGATAACCAGGACCCCAAGATGCTACCCAGACAAGGAGGGTCTCATCCTTGCGCAACACTGTGGGATCACAGCAGACGGTTGCATGACTAGCCTTTCCAGGCACACCATAGATCGTCATCATCAACAATCATCTGTGTAACTAGCTAGCTAGCTTGGCAACCGGGCCGATTTCAAAGCAGCTCAACTACTCCCTTTTAGCCGAGTCTACTACTCGACTAAGGGAGTGGGGGACTCGTGTTGGGATAATATGCCAAGCCCAGTGCCATCGGCCCGTTATCCCCAAGATTTGGCCCAACTAGGCCCAAGACGCAGTCTCACGAGCGGGAATCGCCCCTTGCTCATTTACTTATTTATTGGGCCGGTTCGCCCATTAGCTTGGACATGTATTATGTATTTGGGCCAAGCCCACATAGATTAGACTTTTGGACTTGTGGTGGATGCCTATAAATAGGCCATCACCCCTCATGTATTCTCTATGTTTTTCTCACTATACTAAAATGCTGCTAGTTTCTCTACCCGGGTTATTTTCTACCAACAATTTCGATTATTTTTATTATTTCAAAAGAAAAGTGCATTTCATTTTATATAAGCGTCAATGTAAACTTTTGGAAAAGTGTGATATACTAATGCACTTTTTTGTATACTTAGTGCACATGATAAAAAGTGCATTTTATGTTGTATAAGTTTAGAAAGTATGATGTAATAGTGCACATTTGTCTTATTCTAAATGCACGTAGTTGATAGTTTATTGTATATTTATATTAGTTTTTTTTTTGCAGAAATGTATGGATGTGTGGAACTAAATGTTCTAAAAGTGCAAAATAATAACATTAAAGTGTAGTTTACAATACTCCAAATTAATCTAATAAATTTGTATTTCTCTGTAGGTTGCAAAAATATCTAAATATCTAATTAAATTGATGTTGCAATATGTTTCAAATAAAAGTGCAAGTATTCAATATTTAAGTGCAAATACACAAAATTAAGTACATGAAATATTGCCTCTGAAAAGACAATTAGACGTGAAAAATGCACAATTTGAATAATTTTTTTATATCAAATTACTCATCCGAATTATATGTGAGATAATACTAAATTTATTTTGGAAAGGAAATTAAAATAATAGAATATATAAGAGGGAGGTACGTTACTCCCTATTAATTATTAGCCTACTTTTTAGGATGAATTCCTATTATAGTGCTGCATACGTATTAATGCTTGAATGAAATTTACTATGATGCCCCTTATTTATTTTTAGTTGGAGAGTTGCCATATATGAGAGCCTAATGATCCGAAGCTAGCAATAATTTTGAAAAATGCTAAGCCATTAGATCAAGTTAATTAAAGGTTCGATTACATTATTCAATGCTCGGATTTTAATCTTTTTCCCTCTCCTAAAAGGGTGTTCTCACAGGATCTACTCCCTATATATATATATATATATAGAGAGAGAGAGAGAGAGATTTAGGATCACATACAAATTCATCCTAATTTACAAAATACAAATTAATCCTAGTCATCCATATAAATGAGATGACCGTGTATTTGATAGGTAGATGGGAAAACTTTCCCCAAGTACTAACCGAAAATAGTTGCTAAAAGATAGGAAACTCCCCAACACCCACTAACGGATGAATTTAATTGCCCAAACAATTGTGGCCCTTGATTTTGTAATATTAGATGAATGAGATGAATTTGTATTTTGTACCGGAAGCACACTTTGTATCCGATCTTATCCCTATATATATATATATATATATATATATATATATATATATATATATATATATATATGCATACATATATTGTGTGCGTGAGAAAATATATTTTTTTGGCAAAGCTTTCTATTTCTAACTTATTATAGTATCTATTCAGTTGAGACAGATTCGAAAATATGATCTACTCTTTGGAAGTTTTACATAGATGTCACCAGACCATAAGGTACATGACAGAATGTTAAAACCAGTCTTCTATTACAATATGTTAAAAAATTAAATTATTTTCATATGCCACAAAAAAATAATTAGAAAAGCCAAAATTATGCAGCTGCTCCTATATATGCAGTAGTGGTAGTAGCACCAAGCATCACTGAAAAAAATATACACACTGGGGGCAGAAGCTGCTCATTCCTCTTACTGATAAAGGAGAGCATGTGAGGGAGGAGGAAGTGCAGATGGATCCAATTCCCAGCAGTCACCCGAAACCTTGCTGGCAACAATCTGGTGGGACATCAATCCATCAACCTCTCCCTTCCCAAGCCACCTTATCGCATCAACACCAATCGCTCTCCTCTTGAAAACTGTCCCAAATCCATCATCCCCCACCTTCTCCAGGTACCCCAAACTCAGCCCATATACTTCACTGTAACTGCTCAAACACACGACGATCTCATGCTGCTCCTGATCTTCATCTTTCAGGATAGCCCACACTGTACCCTTTTTAGGATAAACTGTATACAATTGTCTCCCCACTCTATCACAATCCACAGTATGAGAAAACATCTCAGAAGACATCACCAACGCATGCTCAGAAGAAACCCTGTATCTCCCGCAAGACCCATTTTTTTTGCCACTCTTTGCCAATTCTAACCACCACATTCTTAACTTAAAGGGATTCAATGATAGCACTCCATCAATCAATGCATAACGCCTTGGCATCCCATCACCGTCATCACTATAAACCGCCCAAACTTGCCCTCTCTTGAAGCTCCTCTCCCTCTTCCCTTTCACATGCCTACCCTCCATACCTTCTTCCTCTATTTCACTTTCTTTTCCACCTAAACACAGTTGCATATCCTTCCTCTTTTTGCTTTCCTGCTTCTTTTTCTTTATCACATGCATTTGCATCTCTGCTAATGTCATTTCTTCTTCTTCTTCTTCTTCTTCTTCTTCTTCTTCTTCTTCTTCTTGTTCACTGCCCTTTGATCTCTTTGCCCTTGAACTCTTCCCTTCCACAACACCACCATTTGATCCATCCGATCTATTCAATGATTCACACAGATCTCCCGACGATCTCTCCTTTGCCCTCTGTAAGATCTCACCAACACTGGTCATTTTCCTAGCCTTAATCCTACCACTAGTCCTAGTCCCAGAAATTTCATTAATTTTCTCATCCTCATTATCAATGCTCTTAGAGTCCATGAAATCTTCAGTGCGTCCTGATGCCACAACAGCTTTAAAGCTCTTATTACAGTTGGAGCACATCAAGCTATGTGCCCAATATACTTTTTGTTAAACTTATCCAGCAACCTGCACGCAGAACAAGCCACCCAAAGTCTCTACCTCCGCTGTTACACCCTCCCCTGCCTCAGACTGCATAGCAATTGTCAGATTTAAATCGTATAATATTCGTCTGATTTATCCCTCACACACTAATATAAAATCTATATATATGCATGTATGTATGTAGTATATTACCAAAGCTAATTTTATACGCAACATGAAATACTCCTGGTTATTTTGTCTTGATAAAAATATGTTTATTCCGGTTGAAATTATTTGTTTTATGGCTTTTTGTTTTGCTTATCAATCCAGAAGTTGTTGTAGTGTGTTAAGCATGTAAAAGAGATCTAAAACAGCACCAACGCTTACCATGTTGTGTTTAACAATCATAGTTGTATTTGCACAAGAAACCAAGAGCTAGCTGTATTTTTTCATTATGAACATGCACCGAGGAGTCAGTTGTATCTTTTGCAGTTATCGAAGAGACAGCCTTTTCAACCACATGTATCTAGAAAGGCTGATATTTTTGCTGCACTAGAAGCTTGAAGGAATTTTACCAGCTGACTTTTTTTTTCATTTTTATATTTTTTTGACCCTCTCATTGGACAAGGGGCAGTTCGGTGTACATTGGCGTCCCTCAAGGTGAGGGTCCGGGGAAGGGTCCCACCACAAGGGTATATAAGGAGTCGGTCCTCCCTTGTCATTTTGATAAGAGGACACTCTCAAGACTTGAACTCGTGACCTCTTAGTCACAGCCCCTTCATTGGATACAACAACAACATTCAAGTCTTAGTCCCAAAAGATTTTGGGGTTGACTAACATGAATAGATGCATGATAACGGAACCAAAATGAAAAGAAAAGTAAAAAGATAAGGTATGATAAAAAAGATATAAAAAAAAAAAGATAAAATAGAGATAAAATATACATAAAAATGATCAGATAAAAAGGATAAAAAAAGAATATACATATATATAATAAAAAAAAAGATAACAAAAATATAAGAAAGATATTAAAAAAGTGAAAAAAAATGATAAGGGATCAATCCGCCACATGAATATCAGCCCCGCCCTCCACTTTGCTCTCTCCAAAGCCATACTCTCATCTAACACAAGAAGAAGAATATCACTCCTAACTCCAAATGTGTAATCCACATCTGTTTGAGTCTTCCTCTCCCTTTCCTCCCAGCCTCTTTATTGGATATTCCAAAATATTTTCAAGCCGATTTTTTACATGTAATTTGATCTAATTGCTTGAAAATTGCATGCATGTTATTTTTCTTTTCAATATTTTATTAAAAAATGCAACTGCACAAGCTGCATAAACATCAGATTAGGCAGCAACAGAACTGCTATGTTCAACCAAAGAAGTTCTAACTAAATTTACTGATCTTGTCAATGCAGAATATCTCACAGAAAAACCCAGATATAAAGACTGGGAGAGTCAGTGTCAGTCAATGAGTCATGGTATAAAGAATGAAGCAAAACAGGTCAAGCAGTGCACAAATAAGGGTATTCTGCTATTGCATGTCAACACTTTCATTTAAAAAACGCTGTTTTCCTTCACAACCATCGGAATACCCTAAAAATTTCATAGAAATCGTTTACCTGATGAAGCCTCCCAAAGTACTCGTAGAGCAGTCTAATCAGTAAGGAACAATAATGTCAACAGCAGCTTGAGGAATAAGAGCATAAGTGCTTAATCTTTTGCCCATAGCTACAAAGTAACAGAAATTACACGCAATAAGAGTCTACAAGCAGAATACACCATAAAAACAATGAACGTTGAAGTGTTAATACACAAAAAAAAGTTTATTTAGGCACATATAACCACCAGGCATAGAGGCATGTAAGTAATTAAATTCATTGTCATCATTAAAGGCTGGTGCAGAAGATGCAAAAGAAGGTACATGGAAACAATGTAACAGACAGATTATATGATAAAATATGCATTTCAAATTTCAATAGTAACTTATAGAGAATTACCATGGACACATTAATGATTACCCTGTAACTTAGAATCTTCTACAATCATGGTTGTCACGGCGGTCAGGCCAGGCGCGGCGCCAGCTGACCTCCTAGGCGACTAGTTATATCATATGTCATATGTATACCCATATATATATATATATATATATATATATATATATATATATATATAGAGAGAGAGAGAGAGAGAGAGAGAGAGAGAAAGAGTTCAAATAAAAAGTGGTCTTCCCGTGCAAAGTGCGAAATTTGCACTTTTTCATGTTTCGCTTTCACTTTTTCGTGTTTCCGTAGCACTTTTTCGCCTTTGCGATTTTGGGCAAATTCGGCCAAAACCACGGTGGTAGTTTTGTAAATAAACTAATTTTTTTTGCTACAGCGAAAATGTGCAATGAAAACAAGCAAAAGCGCAAGCGAAACATGAAAAAGTGCAAATTTCGCACTTTGCACGAGAAGATCACTTTTTATTTGAACGCTCCCCTATATATACATATATAGGAAAATATTCACGTAAGGTAGATCTAAAAGTTAAACTTTTAGGCCTAAAAGTTAAACTTTTAGGCCTCTTTCAGTTGAGGGGCTTCCGGGATGAATTTTTTGATGAAATTTTGTGAGAATGTTCTCCATGAAATGTATACTATATCTACCAAATTTCAGATTAAAATTTAATCGGGAAGTCACTTAAATAAGTTTTTTCAAATTGGGCAGTTTTTTATACATGAAGCATGCAGTTTTTTTCAATAATTTAGTTAAATAACTTCCCGATTGAATTTTAAGTTGAAATTTGGTGGACATAACCTACACTTCACGGAGAATATGCTCACAAAATTAAACCCGGAAGCACTTCAAATGAAAGAGGCTTAAAACTTGTAAGTTTTAGGCCTACCTTAGGAAAACACTACTTTATATATATATACACACACACACACATATATATACTTCAAACACTATTGTATACAAAAATTTAGAGTAAAGGGTCATATTGGTCCTCGAAATTGCATAAAATGGTCAAATAAGTCCTTACTGTCCGGCCATCACCATTTGGGGAGGTTCCCGGTGGAATTTTTTGATGAAATTTTTTGAGAGTCTTATTCATTAAGTCTAGTTTACTCATACCAAATTTCAGCTAAAACTTCAATCGGGAAGGCATTCAAATGAATTCTTGAAGATAACTGTGCAGTTATCCTCAAGAATTCATTTGAATGCCTTCCCGATTGAAGTTTTAGCTGAAACTTGGTATGAGTAAACTAGACTTAATGAATAAGGCGCTCAAAAAAATTCATCAAAAAATTCCACCGGAAACCACCCCAAATGGCGATGACCGGACAGAGCCTCCTACATAAGAACTTATTTGACCCTTTTTATGCAATTTTGAGGACCAATCTGACCCTTTACTCCAAACATTTATAGTTTAGGAATTAACATAAAAACAGAAAAAGAGAATCATACTATAGCGGCTACACTGAGAAAATGGTTAAGAATGGTCAAGCTTGACGTGTGCATGGGAACTTTATGTGGTCATGCATACGTAGGAGTGTAGTTATTATTATTCTTTGTTTATTTCATTGGTTCAATATTGAATAAGTCAAGGTTGTTAGCTAGTTAATAGGAGTTGTTTGAGTCCAGTTATTAGGTTGTGGTCTAACGTGTAGCATGGCTTTATTTTAAGGGTTTGTTACGTTGAATGTGCATCCCTTTTGATTGTTTCTGTAATGGCTATATATAGCCTAGTTTAACTATAATAAAGTGTGGTGTTTTTAGCCTTTTCCCTCTGCATATAATATATGTTCGGCCGTGTGTATAGAGTGTTGTTATATACTGTGAGAGATAACATTTGGTATCAGAGACAGTGAGAACTTCTGTAAGAGTGTCTTACACGAGGGAGAAAACACACCAATATGCAAGGTTCTGGGAATGGCAATTCAGTGAAGCAACTTCCCTTGTTCAAGGGAATCAACTATCATTTCTAGAGCTTGAAAATGAAAACCCTTTTCAAGTCTCAAGAATTGTGGAGCATAGTTGAGGACGGCTTTGTTGATGATCAGCCGGAGAAGCCTGATCAAGCTCTTAGAGAAAAACGGAAGAAAGATGCCAAAACCCTTTTTCTCATTTAACAAACCCCTAAAATAAAGCCATGTTGCACGTAAGACCACAACCTAATTACTGGACTCAAACAACTCCTATTAACTAGCTAACAACCTTGACTTATTCAATATTGAACCAAGTTTGCACATGTCAATCCTTTCCATGAAGTAATAATGTTTTGCTTGGTTCAAGGCCTTGGTAAATAGATCTGCATTCTGCCAGTTCTTAGCACAAAATTGTAATGTAATCTTCTCCTCTGCTACCAGTTGCCTTATTAAATGGTGTTGAACATCTATATGCTTAGTGTAAGACACTCAAACAGATGGGATTTGTGCTGCAAGCAAGAAGAAAAGCCTGAGATTTGGTGTGATAACAAATCAGCTATAGCCATGACAAAGAATCCTGCTTTCCGTTCGAGGACTAAGCATATAGATGTTCAACACCATTTTATGAGGCAACTGGTAGCAGAGGAGAAGATTACACTATCATTTTGTGGCACAATGATAGGAAACTGTCCAGGTAAACAGTAAAATCACAGAATCTATCAAGAACAACTAAGAGTTTTTATTGATGAGGAAGAATCGATTACAGAAAGAGAGTAAGAAATCAATGGCCGAAGCCCCCAATATGAGCCGAAGCCCCCAAGAAAGAGAGTAACTCTCGATCTCCCAAGTCCCAGTCTGAAAAATGTCTAAACAGCCTACCTAACCCTTCCCTGCCTTCTGCTATTTATACTAAACTAATACACTTTTATTCTTATTAATATGCTAATAGGCCCAGTCCATTATTCTTATTATATATTAGGCCCGGACCCTAACAATACTCCGCCCCTTAAACATCCACCTTGCCCTCAAGGTGGATGATATGACACAGCCACTAACTTGTTCTCTTCTTTCATCCTAGCACCCCTTCCTCTCCAGTACTGATTGGTCTGCTGGGCCTTTAGCTTTACTACTTCCATCTTTCCCTCTAAGTATTTCACAGCATAGTTCCACATAGGCCAGACAATTTGATCCAGAACTGTGATTTCTGCAGGTTTTTGGAAGACCCAATTGCAGCTTGCTGTAACATTGGGGACAGCTACTTCGTGCCTTTGAACACTTCTTCCTTCAACGTCCTGCTCTCTTGATGAGTCATCTCTTTGTAGAATCACCTCCTGCCCTTGTACTTTCCATTTGAAGGTCTGACTTTGGAAGTTAATCTCCATGTCTCCCAAACTTGTTAACCAGTCCATTCCCAAGACTAAATCCATGCTCCCCAGCTCCAATAAGTAATAAGTTTGGTGAATACCAATTCCTTGCACATTCAGATCCACACCTGCACACCTGCCACAGATTGGAATACATTCGCCATTCCCTAACTGCACCCTATTCCCTGTGAAATGAGCATAAGGAATCCTCCACTTTTCCGCCAAGTTTAGTGACAGAAAATTGTGTGTAGCACCTCCATCAATGAGTACATTTACTGTGCTTTCACCTTCATGCCATTTCAGTTTACCTCTCACCTTAAATGTTTTCACAGGGGTTATTTCTTTCTCATCACTTACAGAGAATTGCATGGTCTTCAATTCTAGAGGTGTGATCTTATCCCTGCTTGATTCCAGTGCTTCAAATTCAGACTCAGCTTCACCCTCCGATCGTTCCACTAAAGTTATTGTATAATTCTTCATCTTGCACACATGTCCCCTTCCCCAATTCTCTCCGCATTTGAAACATAGCCCCTTTTTACTTCTTTCAAGCAATTCTTCTTGTGATAATTGGGGTTTTGTATTCCGCTGAACTGAATTTGAAGATTCCTGCTTCTTCATGTTATCAACTAAATAGTTGCCAGATGGATTCTTGGTTGTGTAGCTAGAACTCCCTCTACAACCATCTTCCCATTTCTGATTTGCAGTCTGCACCTTCTTTCTTTCCTCCTCTTTATCTTTTACAAACAAAGTTTCCAAAATTTTGTTCTCAATCGCGGAGGCAGTATCCATAACTTCTGCCAATGTTCTAGTATGATGTAACTTCAATTCTGCTTTTATATCTCTTCTCAATCCCTTAAGAAAGGCTGCTTTTAAGACTTCTTCTGTTAAATGGCCTTGTGAAGCGATAGCCTTTTCGAATCGATCTCGGTATTCTTGAATTGTAGCTTTCTGTTTCAGACTGAAAAGAGGCCCAAGAGGATCGTTTACCATATCAGGCTGAAATCTTCTAGTCAACGCCCTAGTGAAAGACTCCCAGTTCTGATGTGCAGCTTGTCTCTCCCACCATTGAAACCAACTGAGAGCTTGATCCTCCATAGCTAGAACTGCCACATCAATTTTCTCCTCCTCCTCAGTTCTATTTAACCTGAAATAGCGGTTCATTCTCATCAACCAACCACCAGCGTCAGCTCCATTGAAAAGTGGTAATTCAATTTTCCTTTCAGTCCGGCGGTGGTGATCGTGTCTCCTGTGTCGATGATGGTGGTTTCGCGGTGGTGAATAGTCCGAACTGTTTTCCGATCCTTCTGAACTGGTTGCCCGTCGCGATTGGTGATGGTGATGCGACGATTGATGGTGAAACGGTTGATGATGATGCGACGTGCGATGCGAGGCAGATGATCGATGCGATGCAGATGATCGGTGAGAGAGGCTTCGCGATCGACTGGCGAGGTTCTTCTGAAATTCCGCCAAGTTCGCTTGCATCGTCGCTTGCATCGATGTCTGAATCGAAGCCAATTTCTCCGCCAATTGGTCCGCCATATTACTCTGCAATTCACGCATCCTCCGATCCAATTGATCGTGTAATTCTCTTTGATTTCTCCCAATATCCACCATGCTTCGTTCCACCTCGTTCATTCTGGCTTCCATTTTGGAACGCGTATATCTCATTCAGCGATCGAACACTGCTCTGATACCAATTGATAGGAAACTGTCCAGGTAAACAGTAAAATCACAGAATCTATCAAGAACAACTAAGAGTTTTTATTGATGAGGAAGAATCGATTACAGAAAGAGAGTAAGAAATCAATGGCCGAAGCCCCCAATATGAGCCGAAGCCCCCAAGAAAGAGAGTAACTCTCGATCTCCCAAGTCCCAGTCTGAAAAATGTCTAAACAGCCTACCTAACCCTTCCCTGCCTTCTGCTATTTATACTAAACTAATACACTTTTATTCTTATTAATATGCTAATAGGCCCAGTCCATTATTCTTATTATATATTAGGCCCGGACCCTAACACACAAACTGGCAGAATGTAGATCTATTTACCAAGGCCTTGAACCAAGCAAAACATTATTACTTCATGGAAAGGATTGACATGTGCAAGCTTGGACCAAGGGGAGGTGTTTGAGAATGATCAAGCTTGACGTGTGCATGGGAACTTTATGTGGTCATGCATACGTAGGAGTCTAGTTATTATTATTCTTTGTTTATTTCATTGGTTCAATATTGAATATGTCAAGGTTGTTAGTTAGTTAATACTTAATAGGAGTTGTTTGAGTCCAGTAATTAGGTTTTATTCTTACGTGCAGCATGGCTTTATTTTAGGGGTTTGTTACGTTGAACGTGCATTCCTTTTGATTGTTTCTGTAATGCCTATTTATAGCCTAGTTTATCTTATAATCAAGTGGTGTTTTAAGCCTTTTCCCTTTGCATATAATATATGTTCAGCCGTGTATAAAAAGTGTTGTTATATACTCTGAGAGTTAACAAAAATAACCTGCTATAAACAAAAATAAATTACATTGCAAAAACAGAAGAACACATGATACTAATTAAATACGGACTATAAAGTTCTAAAAAAATAATATTAATCAAATATTTAAATATCAGTAGTTCGGCATTAATTCAGAACGAAGGAGTTGCCTTGAAAAGAATCATCATTTAACTTCCGACTTGCGACAGTCGATGGAAGGAGTTGCCGTGAAAGAGGTTGTCGTCTACCTTAGAAGGATTGCGAAAGATAATAGTGTGTCATCTACGTTCCTTGGTTCCGGTTTCTAATTTTATAATAACCAAATCTGATTTTTGGGGCTGGGTTTCTAAAATTGAATCTTCTTCAGACGAGGCAATGGCCCTTGGCCACCCCTCCCCAGCACCTGGACCCCTAGCCGCCAACTAGGCGACGCCGTAACAACTTTGTCTACAATTAATGTGAAAAAATCGGCTGCATCAGCAATCCCTTCTTGTGGGAGCAAAATCTTAATTGCAATATGTACAATCCAATGGCTGAAAATGTATACAAAAAGGGGGTTTATACTTCATACTGCATAAGGAACAACTTAACAAGATAAGCTGTATGTCAAGGAAACCATACTCAAAGGCATCACAATAAATGAAAAAGTAAAACAGAAACTAAAGCCCTAATATAAACTCTGCCACATTAACTTCATATCAACTATGGTAGATACTGAACTACTAGATTTTATTCCCATTATTCCATTACTTTTTTTTTCGTGCACGAATTTATTGTCTATTTTAAAAAGTTATATTGATATTTCAATTCACCGTCCTTGCAATACAAATTGAAAAACAGTGCACTGCTAGGGTATTTGTAAAATCATTTCAGTAAGTATCTTCTCACATCAAATAGAAGCTCAAGTGTTTGTTCTAAGCTCTGACACAATCTAAGTTGATAACACAATAAACTAAACCAAATGTTATCACTTCTCTAAGGAAGATGGGTTAAAAATAATGAACATCTGAGCAAGTGCTTACTTTTATACAATAAGACAGGATATTAAAAATGAGAGTAACCTAAAGATTAAAAAATGAAGAGACAAGATTAAATTGAAAATAAAAAAATAAGATAAAGGCCTGACGTCGGAATACTGGAATAAGGAAGGGTGCTGTGAGGAATTGTTTAAATTTCTTATATTCGTAAATTTTACTAATTGAAATTTCAGACAACTACAATCATCTGAAATCTCACTAATTGAACAAAAATGGTCAATAAGCAATTCATACTCAACCCCCCCCCCCCCCCCCCCCCCCCGAAACACATGCTACGTATCATAAAAATGAGTAATTGAATCTGATTTTTTTAAATTATGGTTCGAACCAAATCTAGAATTTAATTTTTAATTTAGGTTTACCTGGCTGAGTAGTGAGTCGAAAGTAGTCAGCAGGCGCAGCGGACAGACGCTGTCAGCAGTCAGCTAGTCACACTGGGTGGCGGACGACAGGGCAGCGCGTTGCGCGCAGTAGCAACCTAGCAGGTGGGTGGGTCGCAAGGGTGCGGCGGACGCTGGTAGTTGGTGCAGACTCACCGTTGAAGAAGACTGGCCGTCGCCTCGTATGTAGTGCCGATGAAGATTAAGCAATTCGGCTGCTGTGGGAAAGGACGATGGACGACGACTTGCCGAGTCGGGCGACTGATTATGCGGGTGATTTTTTCTTCATTTGGGTCGATGGACAGCCCTTAAACCCACTCTGTAGTCCCAAAAACTGAAAAAACGACTCAGTTGTACCATGGCGGCAGCACCTACAATGCACTCATGGTTAGGAGTGGTTGCAAAATGCAAAGGCTAAAAAAAAGCTTTTCTCGACTGTGAAAACTAAAAAGATAAAATTAGTATTTCAAACCACAACTTTCCTCGGCTTGTGTACAAAAAGTGCTTTTTATTTTTTCTATTGCACAAAAACACTTATTTTACCAAACATTACCAATTTTTACTTTTCAAAATCAGTTTTTTCTCAAACACTATCAACTTTTACAACTAATCACTTTTTCCAAAATCACTTCAAAAGTGTGTTTTTAAGCAAAAGCATTTGCAAACACTCTCTTAGGGGGCGTTTGGAACTGATTCTGCTCTTGCTTCCTTTTTAAAGTAGAAGCAGAATCAGAATCAGTTTTCAGAAGATGGTCACCCTCAACTTCTAAAAAAACTGATTTTAGGAGTAAAAAAGAGCACCAGAATCACTTCTGCACTTTCACCCAAACACTTCAGCCTTAAGAATCATATCCAAACACCTCTTTATTAACGTATTCGATCCGTATCTGATATTAATACTCACTGATGCCTCGTCGTGTACGCATTGAGTCTCTATTCGTAATTTAATAAAAGTATTGAACTTATTTTTAAAAATATAAATACTTTTGATACCCGTATTCGTGAACATGTGCGCATATCTAACCATATAACACTGATTTCATACATGACATGATGATAATTTAGTAACTGCCCAAACGATCACAAGATGTGGAACATTGGTAAAGATAATTTGCCAATTTGTCGCAACTTTAATTGAAATCAGTCTTGTTAAAAGACTTAGATGTAAATGCAAATAGAGAACCAAGAAATGATTTGGATTTAAATCGAAATATCAATGCTTTAGATTCTCTGGTCTAGCCTTTGAAATTTTATTATCATTTTTAATTTTTGGTACTATTATTATTTTATTTATGAACCTCTGTATTGTATATATTTGCAAATTATACCATGCATTATTATTATTATTTGAAAATGTACCTCGTACCCATATTCTATAATTTTTGAAGTTGTTGTATCTCCATACCCGTATTCGCATATTGGCGTATTGGCGTATCCGTATCTAATCAATATAGATTAGCACACCCTTATTATTATATTATGAATGCATAAAATACGTGTGAATAGTAACAACATGCGTGGGCGTAGGCAATGAGTTTTTATTTTAGTAGCAGGGTGGTGTAACTTGCGCTTAAAGAAATGTAATGTACGTTGATGAGAAATGTAATGGGAGACAAGTCAAAGTGTAGGTTGTCAAGTACGAAGTATAATAAATAAAATATTGATTTCAATGTAAACAATGAAAAAATAGAGTCTAATTTTTCAATTACTTTACATAAATGGTGAATATGTTTTTCTTAATATCAGAACTATAACAATGATATATTTTTTAAACACACTCCCGCACCTAAATCGCCCGTGTAAACAATGACTTTTATATTTGAGTAGCATGATTTTATTTTGTGGTGTAACTCGCGTCATGTCAAATGTAAATCACATTCATGGAAAGGTAACTCACGTGTATGCAAAATGTAACTTATTGAAACAAGTCTTAATGTAACTCTCGCATATGAAAATGGGCGTGTTTGACATTCAGCGGTTAGAGGTTAGCGGATAGTGGGTAATGTTAACGGGTTGTCAATAGCGGATTCAGTCAGCGGGTTTGACTAACTAAATAAATTGGCGGGTTGTTAAAAGATGTTTGGTAACTTATCTGTTTGGCCGTAAAATTAGTAGAAAACGTCATTTTTCGAAACTCCAATCCAAAACTCTCCTATTAGCAGCGTTTTCATTTCAGCGTTTTCGTCCGAAAACGCTAGTGCCGAACCACTATTTACCAAACAACGTTTTCACTTATTGAAAACGTTGAAAGTGGTCAAACCGCCATTTTTCGGATGAAACGCCGTTTACCAAACACCCCCAATGTAACTCGCACACATGAAGCTGTAAATTGCGCATAAGAAGATTTAATTCGCGCATATGAAGATGTAAATCGTGCATAAGAAGATGTAACTTCAGGAATAGTCTGTAAATGTAACTCACACATATGAAAATGTAAATCGAGCATATGAAAATGTAATTTCACGTTTATCAAATGTAAATCGAAATAAGATAAAAAAATCACTAAAAAAATAAGATAACAAACTCAATACCTTAAAATCACTAAAAACACATAAAAAAGATAAAAAAAATATATTACAGAAAAAAGTATGAATATGAAAAAATATATTAAATAAAGTGTATGCATATAAAAAAATATTACAAAAAGTAGTGTATGACAATGAAATGCAATATACTTATTTTATTTAGATTAGAAACGTTTTCATTATGAATGGATAAAGAATTAAAAAAAAATAGATTGATGAGTTTTTATTTAAGTTAAAGATAAAGAAAAGTAAAGAAGAAGAAGCTAATGAATAATAAAAAAGATACATTGCAAGGAAGAAAAAGAGAGTGCAAATATGTAGTGGTATCAATAAATTGTGCGCACGGTGTAACGATATCACATTATAATTCACAGAAAAAATACTTCATATTAGAAGTCCAAAATATTAAAAATAGATACTTCCTTTGTTCCTTATAACTCTTTCATTTTTATCCCCCAAAAAAATGATTTTATTTTTAATTAATTAATTTGTTGTTCTTATTATTTCTCTGTTCTCTACACAAATCACAATCACACAACTTTTATTGTATTATTTCTTTGTGCCGAACAAATTTGGCCAAGTTTTGGGGGACAAAACGAGTATCTTAGACTCATAAATTCTTACATTCAGGGGCGGAATCAATATGATTTAGGTTGGAAGGTGTTGTTAAGAAAAAATGGCATGGATATAACTGTTGGGCTTTTCAATGACAAAACTATGACCTTATTTTACTTTTCCAAAAAAAAAAAAAAAAAAATTACATACAAAGCACACCACGACTCACCCGGTCTCAGTTTTCATCTCTCCCATCCCAAGACCTTCAAACTTCCATCGATGCTCTTCACTTTGCCCCCTATGAACTGCGCCGCGCCGCCACACGATTCACGTCGGCCTTCCACCTTCCACTATCTCCATAGTCGATCAATCGATCTCTCTCGTTGTCCGCTGCTCGTCATCGTCCGCAATTTTTGCCGTTCTCCTCCCTCTTCTCAATTTTCTAACCGGCGATTGGGATGAAAATAGGAGGCGATTTCTATCTGTGGCGGCGGATGGAGGGGATTGGGGGTTGAAGATGTCATCTGGCTGAGGGCGATGTGACTAGATTTGGCCGGCGTGTGGCGCGCTGTCGGGTGATCCAGATTCAGATCAAACAACTAGGGTGGGGATGCTGGAGCAAAACCGGGTTGCAGAGGAGGGGTTGGGCCGAGGGATTGAGGCACCAGTAGGCAAGGCAGGGGAGGGCTTGGGGCTTGGGAGGGTGCATGCGGTGGGCGGTGGCGCCGGCGGTGGCGCTGAGCATTGGGCTGATGGTCAATGGGTTTGGGGGGCTAGTAGGAACCAGCTAGCCAGCTACAGAGGGGGCTGGTGGGATGTGTAGATGGGTTGGTGGGCTGGGGAGGAGGGCTAGTTGGGTTGAGAAGGGGGGTTGATTTGATCGTCATGTTGCCGGGTGTGGAGAGGGGTCTAGAGAGGAGGAAGGGGCGGCCAGCCAGTGGACAGTGCGATAAAGGTGGTCATGCGAAGGGATAGGGCGGCAGTTAGTGGGCGGAGTTGGGGGTGGTGTGTCACTATGACAGGTATCATTGTAATCCGTGTCATTTTTGGTCATAGTCACTGTGGCGACGGAGTCACTGTGGACGGTGGGGCCGTCACTGTGGCCGGTGGGGCAGTCACTGTGGGCGTTGGGCGGTCACTACGACGGCGGAGTCACTTTGACCGAAGTCACTTTAGCCGGAGTCACTTTATAGTGTAGGATTTAATTGTAATGTTGGTCACATTTTTGTAATTTTTTAAAAAAGATCACTTTTTTGTCTTTTAACCTATTTTTAGTAATATCTGGGCCAAAAGGCCTGTTGTTAATGGCAGTGTTGAAAAATGTATTAGAGGCACAATAAGGAAAAGAGGGAAAGATATAAAAACCTATCACATTTGAGGTGAAGGAGTGAGAGTTAATCTTACTGTATTTGAGGGGTTTTCCCCTTAATAATAATACCTATTTGAAGCCAATTTCCAAAAAAATGACTAGTTTTAAAATTTTACAAAAAAATGATTAAGTCATATATTTGAAAAAACATAATGTCACTGCGTTTTTTCCATGTCACTGAAAATTGTCATTGTCTCTGTTAAAAAATGTCATTGTCAAATTTTCATGTCACTTTTAGATGTCACTGCCGCCATAAAATGTCACTATGCCGCAGTGAAATGTCACTATGACCGTTTCAGCATTTCCACTCGGTGAAACTACCACCGGTTACGTCACTGACACCACCGCCGTCGGCCGCCATGGCGGCGGATGTCACCCAACAGTGACCTTCCCAAGCCCCCATCCTCAACCCCTGCAACAGCTGACTCCCACAACCACAACCCACCTTCAGCCCCTGCAACTGCGGCAGCCCTCCACCGCACACCGCACCAAAGCCGCCATACACTGTCCTAACCAGTGACCCCTTCTGCTGCCTCAAGGCTCAAGCCATGTTGTAACCCGTAACCCTCCCTTGCTCCTCACTATAACTATCGCCCCATAAACCCTAGCCACCATCGCCCACCCACCTAGTCGCGGCCAACCCAGAGTAGCCCACCTTGTAACCCTCGCCGCCACCCCACGCATAACCCTAGCCACCTCTGAGGCGACCTGAAGGCGCGGCGACCGGGAGGCGAAGGCGGTGACCAGGAACCAAAGGGAAGATCTGGACGCAGGTCTATGGAATAGGAGACACGACCTGGAGGCAAAGCTATCTTCTTCATCTTCGTTGCAGCTTTGTCGTTGGAGACTTGATTGGAGGTGCAGAGAGAGTTGATGTGTTGGGAGAGGAAAAGATTAGGGCGGCTGAACAGTTACCTTTTGTAACTTTTTTGTCATTCCAGAAATTAGTTATACTAGATTTTTCACCCG